TGGCTACAGGCTCCCAGCAGGCAACTAGATTTCCCTCCCCCCTGGAACTGACAGTGAACTTCTGTTTGGTCTGGAGTAATGCTGTAACTCAGAAGGCTTTGTGAAAATTGTTCTAAGTTACAGCTGGGAGCTGCAGTTCTGTCTGCATCCATAGGATATGGACAGATATGCATTTAGAGTGCTCCAAATCATGCTTTTCAAATGTGTATCAGCACCAAGCTTCAGTGCCACGCAGACGTGAAGCCCCAACCAGAGTGCTTCAAAATGGCTGCATGGACATGCAGTGATAGCACTCCCCAGCTGGAGGGCTCAGAGCAGAAATCCCAGGGTGTTACTCAATGTTTCACCTCTGGAGGTTCCTGAAGTCAACTGAGCACTCACTGGTTGTCCACCCTGCTCTCTGACCCCCAGAGAGGCGTGGAATGGGCTGCAGTGGGGTGCAGAGCACAGTGGGATATGGGAGGTCAGAGCAATCCCCATTCTGCTCTACTGAAGGGTGAAGATGTTTCATAAAGTGCTTGAAAAGGTGTTCCTCCTTTTTTGAGGGTCACTTCCGAAGCAATTCAGCCATTTTTTAAGTGCTTCTTTGGGTGTGGACATCTGTACCTTCACTGTCTGGGGTGCTTCAGAGGCACCTGGAATGCTTCAAACAGCACATCTGCCCATGACCATAAAAGCACTAATTCCTTTTTACCCCTTATCTGGTGCAGACATTTTACAGCAGGGCAGAGTTACTGTAATGTGGATGTAAAACACTAGTGTTCTGATTTATAAACATTTTACCCTTGGTTTCTATTACTGTAAGTGGCTAAAAAGACAGAAAGAATCAGGCCATTGGTATAGAAAATTCCTCATTTATGAAGTTGAGCTATACCACTGATGCCAACCAGCTTGGTAGGCAGGTAAAGTTAAGAGTGATGGGGAAGAAGAAAATTCACAGTTAACTGTATACATGATCATTAGGGGAATTCATTATACAATGTAGAGAGGTACTGAGTTACAGCTGCATCTAGTAACTCCCTCCAGAGCTTTCTACCACACCTCTTAGCATAATAGATCTGCCGCACCAAAGCAGGCCAGCCAACTTCCCAGTTGGCTGTTAGCTATCAAGTAGACAACTGACCAACCACAGCCACCAAAACTGTGCTTCAGCTCCAAAGTGCTTTACATACAACCAGATGAAAATGATCACATAATCAGAGCTGTTTTCCCTTTTAAAAAGAGCTAAGTACATACCAAGCTTAATTCACCATGTGCAGACACTCAGAAAGCAGCTGAGGAAAACATACTTGACAGATTCTCTCTGAAGCAGTTCCATCATGTATGGAGCACCACAGCTTTGCTTCTGCCACTTTCCTTGCAAATATGGAAATGGAATGGAGTGAGGAGGCTTTCCCACACATGGCAGGGGAGAATCCCCCAGAAATGAGTATGAGAAAGATAAGAGACAGAAAGAGATAAAAAGGGAGTGGTAAGAAAGGTTGAAGGAAGAGTGAAAGAGAAAAGAGGATAAAGAAATAAGAAAGAGTGAGCAAGAGAGATGAGGCGAGAGGAGAACTGGGGAAACAAATCTATCTGTTTTCCTATGTTGATACCCTGCATCACAGTACCTAAAAGAACAATCATGAACAAACAAAACACAGAATGAAGAGAGGCAAAGAAAGAAATAGCAGGAATAAAACAGAAGGCAAAAACAGCAGTGGATCCCAACGTTAGTGCCCTAACTATTCTTACCCAATTACAATTAATTGGGCATCAGGCTTTAGAGAAAGTGTATCTGGAAGAGATTTGGACAGCTCATTGACCTACTATGACCAAGATTCAGCACAAGCTCCACCTATGACCAGAAAGGAACTGAATGGGCCTTTATAAAAGTTTACCAATCCTCCTCATCTCCTCCAAAACAAAAGACAACCAAGGGTGAATACATCCTTGACAGCCAAAGGTGAATGGCAAAGCAAATGATAAAGACTCATTAACCTGCAGGATAGAATTTAACTTGCATATGGGGTTATTTTGCCCCCACATTAGGGAAACAGATTCCATAGTTTGCCATGTTAATGATTTGCATAAAACCACCCACTACATGTAATGGATACTGACTGGACAGGAGGACTGGGCAGGCTAATGAGGGCTGCTATATGAGAGGTACCCATCAACCATTCTTCTAGGCTTCAGAAATTCTACATGAGGACAGTTCAGCTGTCTGTGGCACCACATTTTTTAGTGACTGAACAGTGGAGACAGCTTGTTTCCAGGCTGCTTAGGGAAACAAGATACACTCTATAAAGCATGGACAGCATAGCATCTCCTCTATAAAACCATTATCTTGAGTCTCCAAGTGAACAGGAGCTCTCTTTCCCAGTGTCTCACACCAGGATACTGCTACAAGCCTGCTTTAATAATTCACATACATTCTGCTATTTTCTTTGACTCAAAGCTATCATTCATTTAGTGTCTGGTGCATAAGCTTTGTCCTTCAAATAAATCAATCAGGTGACTTTTAGTCTGTTTTGAAGCATCATCATTGCTGCTAGGACTTGCACACAATAGAGCCAAATCAGCATATACCAACGGACGATCTGACCCAAAACTCAGATGTGACCAGTAACAATGACAGAGTGAATTCCTCAAAAGGAAATCGTTAGAGGTGCATTCAATAAAATATTTTTACATGGACTTCGCACCTGAAGTCCAAGCAGACTAGTTGCTGGTCTGTACAAACACCTCAGAATATAAACAAAGAAGCCTTGACAATCTGATGGGAGGCAAGGAAAGATACACTGCGAAATAACATACCAATAGTCTGTTCCATTCACACCATTTACCACATGGAAAAATATATTTACTTAATTAATATATTTAATACAGCTTTAGAGAACAGAATCACAGAAATGCAGAGCTGGAAGCAGAGGTGACTGGTGCCTCCTGAGTCTGGAGGGGCACAATTTGTGGGCAGGCCCAGACCAAAACCCCCATATCCACTCCTATACTTCTGTGCCACAGCTTAGTGCCCCCCACTGCCCAACACACCACCAGTCCGTGCAGCAAAAAAACTACTCTGTCCTGAGCAGTGCCAAGTCAGGGACCAATCTCAAGGGGGCACGTGCCCTCCCTACCAGTCGCCTGTGGCTGGAAGGGACCTCAGGAGGTCATCTAGTCCAGCTCCCTAGTCACAGTAGGATCATCCCTGTCTAAACAAGCCCAGGCAAATGTCTGTCTAACCTGTTCTTAAAAACTTCCAGAGATAGAGATTTCACAGCCTCTCTGAGTAACCTTTTCCAGTGTTTAATCTCCCTCGTACTGAAAAAAGGTTTTCTTAATGTCCAACCTAAGTTTCCCTGGCTGTAAATTAAGACTGTTATTCCTAGTCCGACCCCCTGTGACCACAGACACTAGTGTCTCTCCATCCTCGTTATAATCATACTCCAGGTATTTGAAGACTGGCATCAGAAGAGTTGCATCTTACTAGGCGTTTGCTTATCGCGGTTCTTTAGGAGCCCATGTATGTAAAGGTATGCATCATAAAACACACCCACAGATGAAAACACATTTTCAGATTATCTTCAGACAACAGAAGACTTCAGCACTCCACTTCTGGGTAACTGTAGTGGACCATAAATCATACTGTAAAACACAAGATCTAATGGGAAGAGTTTTTCATCATTCAACAAGAAAATACCCTCCCCCTCACTGAGGGTCACTTTCCCTAAAGTTAGAGTTATTACTCCTATATAATTATTAAGAAACTTAATTTCTAAAACATACTATAGGCTTGCACTATACAGTTAATGGGCACTGATAATGCAGGTGCTACCTCAATGAGACAGCCTCAGTTTTCCCCTTTTTAAAGCCCTTCCATAATTATATTCTTTGTACATGGGCTGCTGAAAGGAACGTACATATGATCTCGTGTAGGGACTACCTGCTGGAAGCATCTGGCTTGATATGCATGGTCTAAGTCCTCCCCCAGATCTCTACACCTATGTCTCATATCTTAGGGTAAAATTCTATAAAGCCAGTAGTTACATGTACCAAAGATCCACGCAGCATTGCATTGTGGAGCCATCTAAGTCTTATCACCAATTTTTGAGGGCACTTTTAGAGAAAACAAAATTACTCTTTATTTAAAGAAAATAAATTGCTCATTAATTTTCATCTTATACTGACACGCTTGAGACAGCTACATTTTGAAAGCAGACTTTTAAAACCATTTTGTCTTAGCCTACAAATTAAAAGGTACTGGAGAATCATCATCTTGTCAATTTGAGAAAAGGAAATTCTACCCCCACCACACACGAAACATTTTAAAATAATGGTATTAAGATGGAAGTTTCTTTAAATAAGACAGCATCAATTATATCTCTCAGTAATTGAGATGTTTATCTGTAGGTGCATAACATTTCAAAACTAAGCATTACCGCAAAAACTCATCTGCATTTTTCTTAAAATTGGGAATACAGCATTCTTGCCCTGTATCAAAGTGTGGCTCATTGTTAAAGGCAAGGGCTTGGTTTGAAGAGAAGAGGCACAGTGACTGTACTGACAGCTTCACTAACTGTCAGATATAACATAGTTTAATTATTCCACTGCCCCAGCTTTTCCATAATTCTTGAGCAAGGCAGAATGTGGCAGTTAGTATTTGAAGTGTTTTATAATGTAGTGCTGTGGAGAACCATGTTCCTGTACTCACCACCCAATTTTAGAATTTAAGAGGGAAATATGCATGCCAGTGTTCTCCAATTTCAGACCAAGAGCACAGCCCCATAAATTTCTTCTCAAAAGAGCTGCAAAGGAAGGATTAGAAATACAACTAAGTACTCATCCCACAAGCTGTCAGGGTAGAAGCACCTTATCATACACCTGGGCTCCTCACACATCTTGGATATTATTCTTCTCTTCCCTAAAATAAGTAAAGTGCTTCTTAGCATGAGTAAAACAAACACAGATATTAAATGCCCAGTTTAAAGAAAATGGGAACTGCTGCTGGCATGCAGTACCTAAGAATAGCCTGCATGGCTTTGTTTGAGACTGAAAGGCTGCTACTCCGTTGCTCTTCAGGTGATGTGGGGTGGCATGAATTCCAGGTCCCTTTCTGAGCAAAGCGGTGCTTTCCATTTTCCCTGCTGGACGGAGGAATCTGCAGCGAAGCTGATGAAGAAGCCACAGGCTGCCATGCGAATCTCTGATGGGCCCTTCCATTCCTCCTGATTACTCAACAAATTGAGAAGCAAAAAAAAAAAAGAGAGGGGAAGGAAAACCTTGTAAGAAGTTTCATGTCTACTCCATCATAAGGCAGCATCTTGGAAATTCAAGACATATTAATGTCTTAATGCAAAATGAAATCTCATTTAATACAATGTGCCAAGGTGTGACCAAATACTGGGCATAACAGGTAAATAATTAATAGCAATTTGTAACTAATGAAAGAGCAAGAGCACCTCAGATAACAGAATATTTCCTCCGGACCATGAGAGCAGGAGAAATTATGCAGTGTATTTCACAACAGTTATATTTTGTGGCAGCTGCCTTGCTGAATAAACCAATTCAAACAAGCATAGGCTTAGGGATAGGAGAGCAAGTCTTGGCAGTACTTGAGAACCTGCAGCCTCTCTTTTGCCCCTTAAAAGTCACACATAGACAGTAGGCCTGTGCGGGTTGGCAGCAGTCCAATCCAGCTTTGGATCTGGCTGCTTCAGATGGCCATGATCCGATCTGGAGCTTGGGACCGCATTTCTGCCTCAATCCGGCTGAAGCGGCTCCAAAGCTTCGGAGCCTCCTCAGAGATCTGACCATACGGTATAATGGGGAATCAATTAAATATCTATAACTTTGTTGTTTTTTGTCTGATTTGGATGAAACCTGAAGGGATGGTAGCCTCTGTTGAGCGCATGAAACCTGACAAGTTTCATGAAGATTGGTGCAGGGGTTTGGGGGGAACTGTACCACAAATTCTTGAAAGCCAAACCCTTGTCACGGCTGTGTGTTACAACACAGGGGGGTGAAAACTGCAGGGCTGGTAGCTCTTACTGAGGCCACAAAGCCTGCCAAGTTTCAAGAATATCAGTGCAGGGGTTTGGGGGGAACTGCACCTCAAGCTGTGGACAAACAAAACTCGTGCCATGGGTGACACTGCGTGTTAAGGCGCAGTGGGATGACACCTGCAGGGGTGGTGGCCCCTGCTGAGTCCATGACGCCTGCCAGCTGTGGAGGAGATCGGTGCAGGGGGGTTCTGGGGCCGTGCAACCCTAGCTGCTGATGGGCAAAACTTGTGCCACAACTGTCCCTGTCTTGGGGCAGTTGATTGTCTGTATTGATTCTTTCCTCTCCTTAGCTTGGTTTTGCAGGTGTTAATCCATGCTCATTAAGTCGTTATGTAGTAGCTAGGTCCTGTGTGTTGAGCTGGTCCCTGAGTGAATCATGATCCATTGATTGGTAACTGGGAACACAGCAGCTTAGCAGCCAGGCTTCCCCACCCCAAGACAGACACAGTCAGTCGCACAGCACCCATGGCACGAGTTTTGCTTGTCCCCAGCTTGAGGGGTAGTTCCCCACAAACCCCTGCATCGATCTTCTTGAAACTTGGCAGGCTTTGTGGCGTTAGTAAGAACTACTGGCCCTGCAGTTTTCACCCTGCTATGTTGTAATGCCTAGACGTGACATGGGTTTTGCTTTAAAAAATTTGGGGTGCCGTTCCCCCTAAACCCCTGCACCAATCCTCTTGACACTTGGCAGACCTCCTTATCTCTGCAAAATCTACCACCTCAGAAAATTTAATCCAAAATGGACAAAAAACAACAAAGTTATAGATATTTTATTGTTTCCCCATTATACCCTATGGCCGTATCTCCGAGGCAGCTCCAAAGCGCTTTGGAAGCTCCGAACCGCTTCGGGAAGCTGAACAAGGCCACGCTTCCACCCAGATGTGCTGCTTCGATCCCTAAAGTGTCTGAACCTTCTCCAGATCCGAAGCTCTGTCCGAAGCCTCACACAGCCCTAATAGACAGTCATACACTGCTATGCTAGAGCACAATACAACATCTAAGTATTACGGGTATGTGAAACAGGCCATATTCAATTCGAATTCAGCCTAAACTGGAGGACAGTGATTCAATTTGTTGATTCAGATCACTTTCCCAATTCGATTCGGCTGAATCCAAATCTGAAGATTCAATGCTGATAAAGAGAATCAGTGATTCGGACATAGATACAGCTTTAAATGTTTTTTCGACATACCTCAAGGTACCAGGTGTGGCTTGTGAATGTTGTGATGCTGGGGCCGATGGAGCATCCCACAGGACTGTGGGGGGCCCCCTGCATGCTCAGCGGTGAACCCAGTAATGGACCAGAAGTAGTTCTGGTCCACTTCCAGGTCTGCCTCCAAGTGCATGGGGGACCCCCTCACACACACACACCCCCAGCTCGGTGATTGGCCTCAGGGAGACCCCAGGTGACCCCCCAGACCCAGGAGGCACCAGTCACCAACCCAGGCGGCAGGGTCCCATGCACACTCCTCGATAGACCCAGAAGTGGACTGGAACTGCTTCTGCTCCACTTCCAGGTCCACCACAAAGCATATGGGGGAACCCCCCCCACTCCCATAAAACACTCCATCTGTCCCAGCATCTCAGTATTCACGAGCTGCTTGGTACCTTGAGGTACATAGAAAAAACATTTAAAGCTATGTCTATGTCGGAATCATCGAATCTTCCTAAATCTCTCCAAATTGATTTGGAGGGTTCCAATTCAATTCAGAGAGATTAAAGGGTCTCCTGATTCAAGTCGGATTTGGAGATTCTGCCACTGAATCAGGCTGAATTTCTGCCGAATCAAATCAGAGACCGAAGCTTCTCACAGTCCTACTAAGTATAGCACATCTGGGCCATGAAGCCTCATTCTCATCAAGTTAGTGGCCTAGATATGACAATTCTTTAATATCACTGAAGTATGATAATATTTAGGGACTACTGGATGTGAGGAGAAGGAAAGGAAAAGAGGCACAGAAAACCATCACATCATTTTTAGCCACTCAGCTCCTGAAAATTCACATAATACATGAGAAATATTATCACTGCAAGCAGGAGCCGATCCAGGGAGGGTGCAGTCATACTCCCCTTGGATTCCTGGTCCACCCAAAGTTAAAACCAACTGCCTAAAAGTGGCAGCAGCATTTCTATTAAGAGAGCAGTGAGGGAGTCACTTGACTTCATGGTTCATTATAATTGACTTGATTCATTCTAAACTCTTCATGCCATGGGTGTTAAAGACCCTTTCTCTTTTTTAATAGTCTTGCTGTTCAACTAATCAAACTTGTCTTTCTTTTGAAATTCTGCTGTCTGTTAGATGCTTCTGATGTAGCTGCCATTTCCATGAATGTGTAGAGTGTTTTTAACTCTAGCTAAACATATTAACTCAGATGTGGAAATAACTTTCAGTGAAGTTCAAGACTGCTAGATTTAGTTTTATAAATCTTAGAGAGATATACATTTAATTCCAATGGCTACGGAACTAATGAAACAACATATTTTAATTATTTTTTCCCAAGTTTGTTGTGGTTTTTATACATAATATATGATATAGTAAATTAGTGAACATTCCAATACAGTTTGATTTTAAACTGGATAATATAGTGCTAGCCCCCTAGCATACTAGCAAAGATTCTAATTTCTTTTTACCCAGTGAAAAATAGGTGTTGTGTTACATGTAATGATGCACTACACCATCTGAACCACCCCTTTTCAAAATTCTAGATCTGCCCATGTCTGGAAGCATGGTTTATGCCATTCCCTGTGAACCTGTAACTGCACAAAATAGTGTGCCACTGACCAACCATGAATTAATGCAGGTAAGACAAAAGAAGAAATACCCTACTAGTGCATCATTCCCTAAAACTACTAGCAGTCCAGGAAGAAGCCAGAGGGCTTCCTGCAAAGTTTTATCCAACCCCATTGAAGTGAGTGGAAAGAGATGAAATATGAGATGCAGTACAGGAATGCATAAAGCATTACACATACACACAAGTCATAACACACATATATACCACACTCAGAGTTTGCAGGCAAGCTGGACACAACGGCTTCTTTTATTACTGCCTTCTCTTTGATAGGTAAGGAGGCACCAAATTATTGACATAATTAGGAGGATTCTGTAAGGGGGCCCGAAAAATTCTGATTTTTCTTCAGTAAGTGCAGATAGCTGCTAATTTCTCCAATTACGTAAAAACTAATAAAGATTACCTATTTAATAAATGGAAATGTACAGAAAAGGAGAAAAGTAAAAATGGCACTGCTTGAAGGATCAAAAGAGTTCCAAAGTAGCAATTACAATACTTAAAAATAGTAAAAAAAAAAATAATCAAATTTGACTGTAACACCAAAACCTATATCAAACTACACTTCTGTAATTACGACGTTGTGACACACTGGTTAACAATGAGGAGGAGGGTTTGTTTTGAGTTTGTTCGGGGGTTTTGGGAGGGTTTAGCTTTTTTAAAAGGGGGTTTTTTTTCAGTTTTTTAGTTTTTTTCCTGTGAGTGCAGAAAGTTTAACAAATAAGTTTTAAAAAGATTTTGATATTCCTAGGCAAAATTCAAACAAAAAATAAAATATAAAACCCTTTCAACATTAGCTGTTTTTAGAAAATCAGTTCCCCACCTAAAGTTAGCCTTGTCTATTCAACCTATAGAGGAAAAGTACCAGGCAAAAACATAACAAAAATAAAGTACAGACAGAAACACTAGCTTTGTTGAAGTCAAAGGGAGTTGTGCCACTAACTTCAACAGGACCAGAACTCCATTCATAGTGTTATAGACATGTTAATATATATTCAATATATATAGGTGTTAATATTTGAGAAACTGTTACTTACAGTTTGAGACCACTGCAGGAGAGGGAAAAGAAGTCATAGACTAAGCACACACCAAACACAGTGATTCCAGTTTCTTTTACCAGCATTGCACAGGTCCCAAGAAACAAACTAAGCAGCAGGAAGAAGGGAGAGGCAGTGGGAGGGAAATGTTCCCCAACATAAAGCTGATCCACACTCCTGCAGACAAATATGATGTACAGATTTTAGTTCCTTTTTTAAAAGTTATTTTCATATTTATTAAAAGTGCTCACACATTTTTCAAGTGCATGTAAATATTTTTTAGAAGATCATATATATATTAAGGAATTACCTACATGTATTGAAACTGCTTTTCAAACGTCTTCTGATAAATTACGAATGGTTTAGAAAACAGGATATTAATTAAACTAAAAGAAAGAACATAAAAAATGTGGGAAGCAGAAGAGTCATGAAAGAAGAAGTACTAAAAAGGAAAAATGAGGAAAGCAGAACAAGTGGAAAGTATGCCACCAGGAAAATTAAAGATGATTGCTTTCCACTAGTTTGGGCTCATGTTGATTTTCTCTAGGAAGTGACAGAATGCTCAGTCTAGGGGTGAAACATTCACCCATCTACACCTTCCTAAGTCAGAGACAAATCCTAACTGTTACAAAGTGCAAGACATTTGACTCATGGGGGCGAAGGAAGGCCATACATAGGCCACCACCAGTCTCTGAAACTTCCTGGCAAAACGGCACTAAGGTTTTATAGCAAACAACTCAAGGGAGGGAAGAGGGCATTATTCTATTACATAATAAAGAATGGCATCACCTAGCATGTTCCTAAATGGAACAGAAATTTCAGAAGAGACATCCCTCCAGCACTTTAAGCCAGGTTCTATATATATTGGGACAATTACAAATTTAAGCCCTGCTGTTGCCAACAGCTCCGAGATTAAGCACTATGCTAAAAACTATGCTTAGGGGGCTGGGACGCATGACTTCTGAGGAGAGGCTGAGGGAACTAGGTTTATTTAGTCTGCAGAAGAGAAGGCTGACAGGGGACTTAATAGCAGTCTTTAACTACCTGAAGGGTGGTTACAAAGAGGATGGCTTTAGACTGTTCTCAGTGGTGACAGATGACAAAATAAGGAACAATGGTCTGAAGGTGCAGCAAGAGAGGTTTAGGTTGGATTTTAGGAAAAACTCTCTCAGTAGGAGGGTGGTAAGGCACTGGAACAGTTTACCTAAAAAGGTGATGGAATCTTCATCCTTGGAGGTTTTTTAAGGCCCAGCTTGACAAAGCCCTAGCTGAAATGATCTAGTTGGGGACAGTCCTGCTTTGAGCAGGGGGTTGGACTACATGACCTCCTGAGGTCCCTTCCACCCCTAATTTTCTATCATTCTATGTTTTCCATGCAGTTCAGGCAGAGAATTCCTGCAACTCCAAAGGAAATTAATTTTGTTAGGAGGGGAAAAAATCCTAGGTTCTCAGTGAGCTACGTAATTGCATTACTTGTTTCAAAAGGATGCAAGTTACTGCTGTTCACTTGGTGTACAAAGATTTTACCAAAGTTTAAAATATTCTCAACAACTATGGACCAGTGCTGCAAACCCATACTGGTATGAGTACTGCTGTAAGCTTCAATGGGTTTATTCATCTAAAGTTTGCAATGTCAGGCTCCTTCTTTTAAAAATCACTGCCAGGACTAAAAGCTCTTTTAGGCACACAGTGGTAGAGTGCAGGGGTTTTGTCAGCTTTAAATGAACTGAGCACACTACAGTGGTGGAGTACAGTGGCAGAATGGAGGAGTTTTGTCAGCTTTAAATGAAATACGCTTGTCAAGATTTTGAGCATATTTCACCCTGCCCGCAATGTCTCATAACATTTAATATCAAAGTTCCATACCTATTATAGGAGAGAAAAGCCAACAGAAATAGTAGACAGGCTAAGACATCTGCTCTGCCTACAATACCGGTTACCTAAGGGGGGAAAAACAAACAAGATAAAGTTTATTACCCAAAGGTCACATAATAATCAATTCAGAGACGGACAAAAACTGCAATCACTAATTTAATGAGTATGAGTGTTTTTTCCAAGCCTTGTTGGCAACTTTCACTATAACTAGTCATATTACAAAATTTTTGGCATTCCACTTCAGAAAGATCTAGAAACTGCACATACAGGAAATTAAACCGCTTTGAAGTTTTTGCTTTTTTAAGATAACTTAATTATGTAATCTTCAATGCTCCAGCATTTTCTTCAAACTCAAGTTCTGAGCTAGACAAAAATAAATGCAAAGCTTGCCTACTCTAAAACATCTCTTATAAAACAGTACTGTCTAAGGGAGCTTGGCTGATTAGCTCACATGAGACAACACAGGAGGTAACTGTAAATCTCATGGCTCTTTGTTGCTAAAGTAATCTCTTCTAAAAAATTCTGAGCCTTTTCAGTCATTTCAATCTCACCCATTTACGACAGCTCAAAACAATGAAGTATAATGTTGGTGGTATCTTAACTAGACATATAATTGTCTATGCAGAAACATAATTCTGTTCTCATTTGAAAAGAGAAAAGCACCTGTTTTATCTTCATGAGAATGAAAATAAATCTGTTACTAGAACAATTATTTTAAAGCATGTAAGATTTTGATACTTTGCCTTTTCTTATAACCAACAGCAGAAAAAACATAACAAAGCAGCAACAGGAGCTAACACACCCTAATTTTATTTTGAAGCTTATTAAATGGAAGACTTTCCCTAAATCTATTCTAATCTTTTAAATTAAAAAGGCAATGAGAATAAATTCATGAGCCATTTAACACCCATGACACTCATGACAATGTTTTTACTATCTTGTAACTTTGCATACATTCTAAACATTAGTCATAACTTGGGACCCTTTTTTGTTCAGAAATTAAAAACTATAGAAAAAAATGGGGAGAACCAATGTCTCAGCAGGACGGATGTCTCACCAAGCATTCTGGTTTTGAGACACTGGGGCTTTACGTTTTTTCCCCTCCAACTGAAGGACTATGTTTGTATTTCTAGCCTCTCTGCTTAGGTTGTTAATGAGAATCACAGTTAGTGCTACAGTAGAAAGATGGCAGGTATGAACTCCAAAATAATTGATAGGACATGTTAAGAATAAATGAACATGATAGTCGTTCTGCTGTTAACCATTCAAAGCGTGCATCGCATTAAGTCATGGCAAATAGTACATCCTATATTTCTTTAAAAGTTTTATTTTTAAGCGTAACATGCATTTCTTTTTAGCTTCTCTCTCTCTGTTTTATGGATCATATACTTACAGCTTCTGTGTGAATGGGATGCACAGCAAAGAACAGAGCTGTGACAAAGGCAAGTCGACAGTCCTTGAATACAGCTTTGTCACAAGTATACATCAGCACAACAGTCACTAGACAGTGTAAAATTACATTCACTGCATGGAAATAGAATGGGTTCATACCAGCCAATAATATGTTTAGCCTGTAAGGAAACAAACAAAACCTTAATGAATATAACCGGACCATGGAATCCTTGTAATGGAAGAACATCATTTAGACACATTAGAAGACTGCAACCAGACAAAAAGCAGTTTAGATGAAGAGCTGTTAGATTAATTAGGGGAAATTGCTCAGAACATCTGGTTAAATCTGAATAAAAAGAAACTAATTTCCCTACTTTGCTTTTAAAATTTGTGGCTGAATTTGTTAAGTTTCATCCACACAGAAGTGAGAGACTAACATCACAGATGCAAGCCAAGCCTCTTGTAGTTATGTGATGTTTCACTTCCCCCTACAGCAGGAGTGGGCAATTATTTGGGCCCAAAAGCCACTTAGAGAGTTTTGGTGAGCTGTCATGGACCAGGTCAGCAACCCTCCCACCACCCCAACAGCTCACTAAAACTCCCTATGCGTTGGGCTGGGCAGCCAGGATGGGGCTGTGGACGGGCAGAGAGCAGCATCTGGGAGCAGGATGGGCAGACAGGGCCAGGGCTGGGATTGTGGGGCCCTGACAGTGCAGGGGCCAGGGCATTGCCATGATCTGCTCCCTGCATGACCCTGAAACAGACACCAGTTCCATGGGCAAGGGCAGACTGAGGCTTCATGCCAGGCCCCAACCCCACACTATCACTACCCAGCAAGGAGACCAGCCATGACCTGCATGGGGCAGGCACACAGACAAGATGGGGTTGTGGATAAGCAGGAAGCTGCATCCAGGAAAGGGACAGGTGGGCAGCAGCAGGGGCAGGGCCAGAGCCAGGGCCAGGGCCAGGGCCAGAATTGGGGGACAGTGATTGGGGCCAAGACCCAAGACAGAGCTGTGATCTGCTCCCTGTGCAACCCTTGCCCATAGAACTGGTGCCTGTCACCGGGGCATGCAGGGACTGGATCACAACTCCACCTCGGACCCCAGATCTGCACTGTCAAGACCCTGCAATCCAGGACCCAGACCCACCTGCCCCTGGATGCAGCTCCTTGCCCACTCACAACCCCATCCCATCCGGCTGCCTGCATACCCCGCCTGCGTAGGTCCAGCCCTGACAGGTGCGGAGCAGATGGACCAGAGTGCCCAGGCAGTTGGGCCAGGTCCGGCAGCAGTGAAAACTGGAAGAAGCTACTCCCATCAGGGCTGCCAAGAAGCAGAGTCCAGCTGCTGCCCTGCCCCGGCCCCACTGCATGCGTGGGGGCAGCGGGACCAGCTGCACATGCCATGGCCTGAGCTACCCTCCATGCCTGAGCCGGGCAGGGTCAAGGGACCTGCTACAGGCCAGACAAAATCCCTTGGCGGGCCAGATCCAGCCCGTGGGCTGTATTTTTCCCACCCTGGTCCTACCACAACAAGAGTAGTTCAACATGAGATATGCAACAACTCTGCTCTTTCAGTGCTGGCACCTCCACAACAGTCTAAGCCAGGGGCGGGTAATTTTTTCGGATGAAGGGCCACTTACTGAGTTTTGGCAAGCTGTCGAGGGCCACATTGGTAGCCATGACCCTTGACAGGTGGCCCAACCCCTGGTCACCATCTTGTGACTGGAAGTCCTGCCCCTTAACCCCTGACCTTTGCCACCAGAAGTCCCTCCCCTTGCCCCAAGAAGTACTTCTTTCAGCAAGGGGTTTTGCCATCTCAGAACCAGAAAAATACCAAATTATATTCTAAAGAATTGAAAATCTACAACATTCATTAATTTGATTTCAAAAACTATTTTTATCCTGATTTACATGTGTTTGCATAGTATACACAGAGGTGATTGAAAAATAGCTTAAACAGAAGTCTTATGCTTGTATATTGTGGGGGAAGGCATGGGGATAGGTTTGTGGGGGGCTGTTAGTGTGTGGGTATGTGGGGTGTGGGGGAG